GGNGTGTGTGTGTGTGTGTGTGTGTGTGTGTGTGTGTGTGTGTGTGTGTGTGTGTGTGGCTTGGGGGGGCATGAGCCGGTGTGACAGCCCTTTGCATCCTGCCCGCTTACGGGTTGCTGTTATAGATCACCACACCGATTGCTATTTTTTGCCCTTATTGTTATTACTGCCTGACTCTTTCCAATGCTTGCGATCGTGCCGGAAACCGGCGTTTATGTTTTTCAGTCCAACGAAAAATCCCGCATTTATCTCCATTCAGCTCCCGTGCGGCTTTGCTTGGACCGGGCTGGGAGGGGACGATGAAACGAAACCAATGCAGTCCATCCCACATCCCGCCCTCGTGGCAGCCAACCAGGAAACATGGCCGAGCCGCCCTTCTGGTCAGCCGATTAGCGAGGAGGGGTGTGTGGTTGGCCGATTGGAAGGGCGGAAGGAACAGACATAAGAGCCGTCCGTGTATGTATCCAACGGGAATGGTGGTGGTCCCTGGTTGGTCGCTTTTTTAGACTTTTGGGGCGAGCGGATTCGAGAATGCAAGGAAGGATCTTTTTTGCCTTTTTACAGGGCGCCAGCGGAACGAACGGATGCTGCATGGGACGAGGCCCGCGGGGTGCAGGACCGTTCGTTGGATTGCGTGCGCTGCTGGTTTGACACCGGGCTTTTCTCGTCCTTTTTTCATTTCTCGCCATCGTCAACTGTCATCCCATTAAGGTCGCACTGAGAAATGGGGAAAAAATGGGACAGGTAAAAAAGAGAAGAATCTGGATCCATCTTTTACAGTAAGCGGCCCGTAGGCGGGACAGCGGGGGCCCCACGACGGGTAGTGAGAAGGGTGCTGGGCGCATCCTCAGTATCTCTTCAATCCTACGTGTTGGTGGCTGACAGCTTGCTGGGCGTGCTGAGTTAGAGGGTACGGTCACCTGGGTACAGCACCTACCTGCCCTGTAGCAACAAAAAGAAACGGCTGGGCTTTAATGACCAAGCCATTTTGTTGAGAGGAGCTCAATTCTTCACATCGACCCATCGACCGTTTCTTTTTTTGTTTTCGCGCCCAAGGCGAAGCAGGCAAACCCCTCCCTCTCCCTCCCATGTCGTGGAACATGACAGATCGGATTTTGGCGGCCCTCGGTCCGCCTCATGGGAGAACGATGCGGGATCCCATATGGCCTGTTGGGCGCCACGAAGGGGATGCCCTGGCGCTTGCAGTGACTGCTTGTGCGCCGTTCTTCGGGGAAAGCAGCCAGCACATACCCGTCTTGATGCGCCGTATGGCTGAATGGGAGGAGGGGGTAAAAGGAAAGGCAGACTGCGACTTGGACTCCGCCGTCCTTCCATCCATCCATCCCTTGCTACGTTATCGCCACACACACACGCACACGCGCACACACACACACACACACATGCCGTACTCATGGAAATGGTACACCGCACGAACCCACGGGATACTTGATCTGGGAAGCACGGCTTTCGGGACCTGCTTTTTCTCGGTCCTACCGTTAGCCATCATGTTTCGCGCCCCGACCGACCCGCCGACCTGTAGGGTATTGAACTCACGGCAGTTCTCCCTCTCTCCTGTGTTTGCTCTGTCCCCCACCCTCCGAAGTGCTGGGGCGCCAGTGATCTCGGAGTATTTTCTTATTTCATTTTAGCAAGCCCGAGCCCGAGAGCCCGCTCTGCAGCCTGCCTGGGGTTTTTTTATTTATTTATTTTTATTTATGACTTTTGAGAACCAATGGTAGTTGGCAGCGGGCGGGTGGCCTCGTTGTTTATCTGCGACCCCACCTCCCCACCGATCGATCTCACAGTCAGCTCGCAGGAGCCGACATTTTGGCAGCTTCGGCAAACCGCACCTGCCTGCAGGGGGGTGTGTGTCGGCGTGTGGGTGGGGGTGGGCGTGTGGACCCCCCGCCTTATATTTCCACTCGGCTGCGCCTGCTCTTGTCTCTTCGGCTTAACCTGCCTTAGATTCGGTCCATCGATATCCGCCCGATTGCCCATTCCCTGATTGGCCCGAGGGCCTAATGGCGGGTGGGGTCGGTGGACTGACACGACAGGCGAGGCTTTCAATTCTCTGCCCAATTCGGGAAGGCCAGAGGAAGCCACAAAACCACCAGACCCGGGAACAACGACGCCTCGGGCGCTGCACCCTCACGCCCTCTCCCAGCGCCCCGAGATTGGTCCGGCCGATCTGGCGGGCTGGGCGGCGGGACAGGGTGCTGTTACTTTTTCAATACCGACCGTGTTCTCGACCATGGCGTGCATGGTTTCTCTGCTTCGACGTCACTGGCTTGGCTTCGGGCCCGAGCCGTCAAGGCACTTTATCACCCCTTCTCCCTTCCTCCTCCAGGGGTCAAGTCCCGTCCTCTATCGCTGATTTGGACATGGCCCGGAATCGTCGCCAACCAGGCTGCCAGGTTCTACCTTGGCGGCATTGACCACTGTCTCTTCTGTCTCCTGTCTGCCTTGGGTCTTTCCACACACACATAGAGGGCACGCAAACCAGGCAGGGGAAGCAAAGCTACTGGGAGTGCCTTTGCCCCCCTCCTTCCGAGTGATGGCGGGTTTCGTTCGGGTCGCACTCTCCGCTGCGTGACATTTGTCTCGGGTCCTCCTCTGTCTCGCCCGTGGCCACTTGCAGCGCCTGCGCGAGGTCGCACAGATCGGAAACGCTGTCGCGCCTTGTTTCCATTTCGGCCTGTGTCGCCTCTCTCTCTCCAGAGCCGGGCATGGGTTGGGCGGCTGACGAGGCCAAATGGCCAGCCGGGCTGGATGGGGGCAGCGATCATTGGCTGCAGAGACCCGCGCGTTGCGGCGCACACGCAATATCGAGTAACCTCCCCTCTCCCTGCCTCACCTCTTCCTCGCCATCTGTCTTTCCCCAGGGCGCGGCCGCCGGCATGAGTCGATACACGGCCATCTGAGACATTTCACTGTATCTGGCATGAGGTCCGATGGCTGGTCCGACGCGTGGTGCGCACGAGAGAGGGAGAGGGGGAGGGAAGATGATTACTCTTGGGCTGAGGGGCTGAGGGAAAAAAAAGGCTTGGTCACTCATTGGACCGAAAACGGGCTTTCTAAGATCCTGAGGGAGCACCACCCTCGATCTGGGTACGGTGTAGCCCACTACGACGCCGCCGCCAGTGCCACGGCTGTAGCGTGTTCGAGGATGGGAATGTCTCGCCGGGGGTTCAGCTTTGCTCACCTTGTGCGCCGTGATCGCCGTCATGTTTTGTCGGAAATGGCCAACCCGGAAGCACCGGCCTTCCGTTGGTTTTCATTCTTGCTCTACAGCGCTCCCGAGTTCTATATACGATCTAAATACCTAAGAAAATGGAAACGTGGATGCGTACTGACTGAAGCATGGATTAAAGGACCGTAGACTGGTCAGACTGAACCTCAGCTAGCCGACCGCCAGTGACTGCCAGAGGAGGGTAAGGGGACGGTGCGCGAATCCGCGTCACTACATGGCTTTCGTTGCTTGATGGCAAGTCGCTAGTTCTGCCTGGGTCATGACCCAAGTGACCGCTTTTTACCCGTTTAGCTCTGAGCTAGACACCGAGACAAACAGGAAGGTCGGCAAAGTGCCAAGTAAGCAGGTGTCAAGCAGTGTCATCGGGCAGGTGGGGACGGAGCCCCAATTTTGATATGAAGCGGGTAAGGGACCCAGGGACGCCAGCGTGACGAAACGTCTGGTTGGGCGTAGGCTGCGTTCTGGACTGTAGCCTGCCCGATGCTTTGCCATCAAGTGCAAGACGTTTCTTCTTCTTCTTGAGGCATGTATTAGTAGTCCCCTAGCTCTCTGCTTAGGAGGATCCGATGGCGTAGCAATCGTCATCGTCCGCCTGCGTCTCGTTTCGCTTCGCAGTGGCGTGGGGGGTTGGGGTCTAGTCCTGTTCGACGATGCGCGAGCTGATGTCGTTTCCATTTGACGGCGAGGAACTGCCTTCTATAGTGTCGTGGTTTTGCTTTGTTGGGTCGTTGGGCAACCGGCAGCTGTCTCTGATGTCTATACCGAGCCTACGGTTTAAGACTAAAGACACAACGAGCCGAGGCTGCTTGAATGAGAAACGTGCCCGTTTATCATTTCCTAATACCCCTTTACGGGTGTCAGTCGCCCTGGGTACAGCTAGGTACCTGGCGAGAAATGGTGCTGTCTCTTTTTCTGACTCGCCACTAACATACCAAAAGGTTAAAATTTAAAAAAAGGAAGCAAGAGACGAGGGCCGCTGTTCTTCCCTCATATGGGTGGGAGTCATGTCTTTTATAAAAGCCATGGTAAAATAAATGTATACACCCTACTGGTATGACCTTTTCTCCTGCTCGCCTGTGCAAGTCGGGTACCGAGATCTCTTCGGAGAGATGAACACGAACGCTTGACCTTACTACAAATGCAAGATCTAAGCATCCAATGCCCGCCCTCTCGAGCCCTGGCTATGTATGCTGCCTCTTGTCCTGCTCCCAGCCTAACGAAATTTCCGTACAGCGACCACACATGTCGTGAGGTCTCTCACTCTCAATGCAGATGGCGCAAGTGCCCAAGAAAGGAAAATTGACAAACTCGCAGCGGCAGCATTTCCAGCTCCCTGGCTTGTAGGTAATATATCTCCCTGGCCCGTAGCGAAGAGGGATGCCCTCGCGCGCGTTTTCGGCCTCTTCTTCTTCTTCCTTTTTTCCTTCTTCGTTCTCGTTATTTGTTGCGACTGCCCGCGGGACTGCAAAGAGCGCCAGCTGCTCCAGGTGCGTTGCCACATGCCTTTTGAGCTGAGGCCCAGTTACCACCTGCGACGAAGCGGCGGCCTTGGCGGCCTCCCATTCATCGCAGAAAGGACATTCTCCAGCGACGAAAGTGCGCTGCACCCTGCGCCCCGCGGCTACCAGATCATCCATGCGTTCGCCCGGGGACTCGCCGTGCTTGGCAAGGTGATCCCTAAACTTGGGCTCGGAGCCGCACTCGACCTTGCACTCGGCGCATGCGAATTGGGATCGGTGCTGGGTGAGCTCGTGTCGAAACCAGGAGTTCCGGTCCGGGAACATCAGGCCTTCACATTCCGGCCCGCCGCCCAGGGTACAGACATAGGGTCTAATATCGGCAAAGGCGTGAATCTTCCAGGCCTTCTCGCTGCTAAAACAGGAGAGTAGAAAGCAGATGGGACACTCAAATGGTTCCGCGGGCTGGGAAAGATCGGTGAGTCTTGGCAGAGCGAGTGAAGTGGCTCTATCGAATGTTGTCACTGCTGTGGTGACGGACATGGCGCCCTCGTACTCTTCCTCGACCGGCGTGCCGGCTTTGCTGAACTCGGCTTCTAGTCGCGCCGGGGCCAGGGTCGTTGCTTTGCTTGAGAGCCTCTCCGTTGGAGTCTCCTCATGGTCGCCTTCTTTTGGTTCAGCGAGCCGGGCCTTGTGATCCCGGTAGTACTGCTGGACTTGGCGTCTCTTGACGTTTGCCGAACCCAGCCGGTGCACCAGCCAGTGCGACTGATCGGCCAGCCTCCTGAGCTTGGAGCACTTCCGGTGCACGTACTCCTTGTCGTACAGGTCCAGGAATTCTGACGTCGAGTGCTTGAGTGCGTGTGCGAACCTGTCCCTGCTGGTGGCTTTGCGCACAAGTATCCCGGCGCGGAAAAGACCTCTCAGGGTATCAGATATCTCGCCCGCCAGCGACTCTGCATACTCTAGCTCCTCCTCCCTACCAGGAGGGCCGACAACTTCAGAGCTTGTGGCAGAGTCCCGGATAGAGTCCGGGGGTTGGGGAGAGAGGAGAGGAAGGACTGATTCATAGTTGGCTTCAGTAGGGAGTCCGTATCAGACAGCCTTATCAATGATAGTCCACAGAATACACACCTTCCTCCAAGGCATCTCGAAGGTCACCTAGGAGTCTGTGGATGTGGGCGAGCACTCCTTGGGCGCCAGAAAGCCGGCACTCGAGTGACAGGCTTGAAGAAGGCTGATGCATGGCACCCCTTTTTTTCCTGCGCGTCAGCTTTGCCTGTGGGGTAAGTGCATGAGAAGTTCTCACATGTTTCCGGACCATAGGATGAACTTGTCTCTGAAGTCGCAGAGATCTGCAGAGGTGATCATTGGCGGTGCTGCGGCCTCAAGAGCGGCTGACGCAACGGCTTTGAGGCCTGCTTTGATGATACCGCATTTGTGTGATATGGTAGACGATGCCATCATTTCCGAATCGTACAGATTTGAGCAACGGCTCAAGGCAGAGGTGGCAAAGGGATTGCCCGGCTTAAGTAGAGCTGCGGTATTGAAGGGAATGCAAAAAATTGAGCAGCGGGGTATTTCGCTGTGATAAGCTGGCAGCATGTACTTACTGCATACAGGGTGGCGTGGGTTGCATCCCAAGGAAGAATTGCCAGCCTGACCGACATAGGGCCCGTACATTCATGCCTCCGCGTGAGGCTATGCTATCTGCAGCGGCTGTCAATTGGTTTGGACGCATGGTCCCCGCACCTGAGCCTTGTGCCCCTTCTCTCACTCTCTCTCTTCTTCTGCTTCGCTTTGGCACAGCATTCCATGCTTGCCAGCAAATGCGATTCCGAGCTCCTTCACTGCACTCAGCTCGTACTTTCTAGGGGCACCTAGTGGCCACCGATCATCACTTCACTGGCATGTCTGGTTTCGAACTGGCGGGGATTGTCCTCGGGGCGCTCCCGATAGCCATCGCCGCACTAGATGGGTACAAGGAAGCGAACAAGCGATTTTCATTCTGGCGTGGGGTCCGGCGACATCACATAACTTTCACCAATGATCTCGAGTATCAACACCGCATCTTCGAACTGAATCTCCAGCAGCTACTTCTTCCCCTTGTTGTTGTTGAAGATGATGTGTATGTGCAAAGTCTCGAAGCTATAAGGGATTGGTCCATCGACTGACACAGCTGAATAGTATCGCCGTCTTGTTATCGCAGCCCGGTGGACCTGAATGGAAGCGCCCCGATGTGGAAGAGGAGCTCAAAAGCAGACTGGGCGGCTCCTACCCACTTTACCTAAGCATTATGAAAGCGCTGGAGGAGGCCGTAAAGAGGCTTAATGCGGAGCTTGGTGTTGATTCGGCGAGCGTCCAAGCAGGCCTTCAGGGACAGGTAAGGACGATCAGCCCATATGCCTCATTCTGCCCGCGCTTGAACCCTATATGTGTGGAACCATCCTGAAGACCGCTCCCGACCACAGAAAAAGAGCCTGGACTTCCAGCTTTACCGGCTCAAACTTAGCATCGATGGCGGATCTACTGCAAAACGGCTCCTCGACGAGCTGACCCAACGCAATGCGCAGCTCGAGAAGCTCCTGAACCAGACTGACAAGGTGACCCAGCTGAGCCGGAAGCGGGATCAGAGTGGCTACGGGGGCTCAAGCGCGAGGCTCGATACGGCGCTGTTATCATTCTGGAAGAGTGCAACGTCTCTTTACAACGTGATCCAAACCGCATGGACCGGCTGCTCTTGCTCAAAAGAGCACACTACAAACATGGTGTTACAGCACCCTGCCACAGCCAAAAAGGCAAGGTTCGAGGTCCTATTTGCCGCCTCTGATCGAACGGAATTCTGGAGGCTGGACAGAGCGCTCGTGACTGTTGGCGAGGACGAGACAAGGCCAGCAAACCAGCCAAGTAGCCCACAAACAAGCGCTACAAAGGTCGAGCTCGGGGCACGCGAGCCAGCTCACAAAACGGCCAGGGTCCCCAAGTCAGCCATTAAGGGCAAAGCAGTGGCGCGCAACCGAAGCGTTCAGTTGATCACTGCCCCTGCCATCGTGCTGTCGGGACTGCCGCAGGCGGGGAGGATCACTAACCTCTGCACCTCGCTCTACTCCAGCCCTAGTAGTAGCTGCTGCGCGGGGTTTCTTCAATGCCCAAACGACGCGGAAGCCCGGTACTTCCTGTACCCACAGTCTAAGCAGATGGCGCCCGTCCTCAAATTCGTCACGCTGGAGCAGCTGATCCGGGAGGAGGAGCTTCCCCCGCTCAGCTTCCAGCAGCGGCTGTTTCTGTCCATGACGCTGGCTTCGTCGTTTCTGCAGCTCCTCGATTCGCCGTGGATACATCACCAGCGGACAAAAGCGGACATTGTCTTTTTCCCGGACCCAACGTGCCCCGCCGTCTTCCTTTTGGAGAAACCGCATGTGATGGGGCAGGCGGAAGCGGCAGATCCAACAACAGGTGGCGCAGGGAATCCGAGGCTCCGGTCTGCCGTGGAGGAGGAAAGGAGACAGGCAGCGCTGAGCAGGCTTGGGGTTGTCCTGGAAGAGCTGTGCTTCAGATGCAGCGTCGAGAAGCGCCGGGCGCAGCGCGGCTACCCGGCCGCGAGGGCCGGCGGGCAGAGGCAGCTGGTTCTCGACACTGAGGTGGGCGTGGACTGGCTGCGCGAGATGGGCAGCGAGGCGGCGGGGCTGGAGTACAAGTGCGCGGTCAAGTGGTGCCTCCTGGACCACCGCGTCGCGTTGCAGGAATCTGACTCGTGGCGGGGAGAGATGCTGAAGCATGTAGTCGGGCCGTTGGAGCGGTCTTATCGACAGTTCACTAGCAGCGGGTGAGGTGGCGGTGAAAAGGGGCAGCGGAGGGATGTGAGGATCGGGGAATTGAGAAGCACGGTTCCGGGTATGTGGTACGTGCCATGAGCTCACGCCACGTAGATAGAATGTGTCTTCTCGATGCAGGTTTTCACAGCAGCCCGATGACAGCCCACGACGAAGAGAGCCAGACGCTGTAGCGGTTGCACGCCAAACCCCTGACGGGACCCCACATCACTCCACGCCCATGGATGGCCTAAATCGGACGTCGGTCGAGGAGTCGGCCAAAACGAGTAGTTGAACTACGGTAACCTATGGACAAACGCTGCGAAACTCGCGCCATAATCACCTATATGTAGGCTGGTTCAGTACGGCAACGATGAACACGGATAGGGCGCCATGGTGCACCGCTCGAGTGATGTGTGGCCAACGGCTAGTCCAGAAAGACCACACCAGGATCAAACCCTTGATCTCCTTCTCGTAGCCTGAAATCCTAACACGAATCTCGCTCTACGTGGCTTAGGTTCTGAGCTCTCCTCCAGCTCAGATTCCGCCTACTGTAAGCGTGGGGGAGACAGTGACTGGCAGTTCTAGGCAATGACCAAAGGCAGGCTCGACGCTAGCCTATGAGAAATACGGGCCATAATCACACTCGCGGGAGCATCGAGTAGGCAGGGGCAGGCAGGGCGATGCCGATGCTGATCTACATCTCGTGGACGAGTCGGGGAGCGATGACGTGTGCGGGCGGAGCATCACCCTCTCTCGGCTTCCGGCAGGCGCCTGTCGAATGTGGAAGCTATCAGACGCTCGGTTGGCGGCTGCTCCTGTAGTCGCAAGCTAGCTCGTGAAAACATGAGCTCAGCACCTACTCCGATTCCTGGCGGATGTTCAGGAGCGGCACGGACGCACGGCAGCGGCCACACATATCCCAGACCAGCTCCAGTATTGGGCAGGCGAGTCCTTAGAAGATAGGAATCTTCTTTTGCTTTCAGTACGAAGCACAGATGCAGCTGAAGCCGACCCCTTTGCTTGCCACGGGTATGCTGGGGAGCTGCCGGAGGAGGAAAGGCACAAGTCACTCATCTCCGAAGACAAGACTGTTGCGCCAGCTGCCATACTGGCTGCCTGGTATATCTGCCTGTATAATACTGGAATTGACATGGCCAGCCCCTGAAGCAATTAGCAGTGCAGCAGGCCAAGGCAACTACCGTACAAGGACTTGCCGCAAGGTCTATCGAGGACAAGTGACACGAGGGTAGGCCAGCTGCCAAAGGAGGTCGGCGTGCAACGTGCCCTTGGGCCGAGAATCAAGCTCAAATCATCCTATAGAAGGTGCTGATCTCGTCGATAGTGACCGTCTCCTAGCCTGTTGTGCTAGGTGGGTAGGTGCCTGCGTTGGGGCGACAGCGCCTCCTTCTCTAGCATACTCGAGGAATGGATATGGCGGGATGATGTGATTGTGACGCATCACACCTGCCCGGGGTCATATGTGATTCTGTGGCTGCTGTTATGTTAGGAAGCAGTGGCAGTGTCTGAGATGGGGGCGCGGGAGGCAGGGCAGGTGTGCTATGAAGTTCATGAAGTGAAGCCGCGACCATCCAGACAGTTGGGCACTGAACCAAACTCTATCGCGCTGAACCGTCTCTCGGGAAGGACCCGCCCTCTCACTGAATGCCTTGAGCCGGAAGGAAGGCAGTCGCTTGTTCAGCTATCGACCTGTGAAATCCAGACAGGGGCGATTCAGCATCATTGGAAGCGAGACATGTCGAGCGGCAATCGAGAAGTGTTGACGCATGCGCATGCCATGCTCCTGACTCTAGATCCAGTATGATATTGCAACGCGGACAGGCGCATGTGCGGGCTCCTCTCCATGCCGGCTGTGGGCAGCAACGCATGGTCCGAATGGACCTTCACCTCGACGACTTCCTACCTCCCCGAACCTCCTGGTCAGGAGGCTCCTGCTACGACTCCCCGTCCACGGAGCAGAGAGCACCACCTTCCATGCTTGCATGAAAGCGCAGAAGTGATCCCAAGGGCCGAAGGGTGGGATATTTAAACGCCTCCAAGCACCTCTCTTGTCCTGATCCAACTCTTCTCCTCTTCATCCTCCGCATCAACATCTCGACCTCACCAGCACCACAGACTCCAGCGCCGGCCCTCCTCCAAGCATCCACCAGTCCTGTAAAGGATTCTTCCATCCTTTCGCCGACCCCTTTTCTTCTTCTCTTGACGCTCACCTCCGCGCCCTCGTGTCCACGACCAAACGACCTGCCCCTGTTGCACCGTCCATCTCCAACCCGCCCGACGCGGCGACACCATCCAACCTCAGCATATCACATTCCCTTTCCTTTTGTCCTCCCGTCCTCGCCTCCAGCATCTCCCTTTCTTCCCCTTCTTTCCCTCCCTTTCCTGCAGTCGACACTTGCCGCGCTGGTATTGTCTTCTCGTGTCTCTTCTGCACCCTTCTCTCTCTCCTCTCCGTTGAGTCCCGGCGCTTCTTCCACCCGCTTTGGCTCCCTTTTCAGCTTCTCCTTGCCTCAGAGATTGACGACTTTGTCGCGGCTTTGGCCCTCATCACCGGCAGACTGATCCAACCAAGCCAAGCCTCTTTCTCTGCTTTCGCCTCGCCAGAGATGTTCCATTCTCAAAAAGGTGGGGGACCACCACTCCGGCATTCCAGCCGTCCCCGATGAGAAAGTATTATTATCTGATCGCGCGACGGAGCGCGAGGTGAAGAGTTATCCTTGTTACAATCTTAGGCGGTTTGGTTTGTTGGAGTTGGAGGGACCTCACTCAGCACCTTGTGTGCTGATAAATACAGGCCTTCGAGCCCTTCTCCGCAATAGGTTCTCACACGACAGCGCCACGCCGGCAACACCAGCTCCTCCCACGTCAACGACGAACTCAAACGCCGAGCGGCACCGACGAGCCATCTTGTTGGTCGAGCACAACACTGGCGAGCCACGCCATGAGTCGATGGCGCGATCAAGATTTATTGTGGGGGCGACAGGGCGGATTGCGATGTTGAAAAGAGGCAAGGTGGTCTGGTGACATGATAGTCGTGGTCTGAGATGAGCAGCGAGGCAAATGAGTCTTTTTGTGATATATCCAGCGCCTGGTTGGGCATGCGCACAGCCTAGCTTCTCGTCTAGGAGAAATTCAATGTCGTCGCCGTGCTTGATTCCGCCTCCGGTGCCGTTCTTCTACTTGCCCCTGCATGTGCGAGTCCTTCCTTTCTGCGATTTAGACCATCTTTTTGCGTTTAGCTGTGGTCGCCGTGAACTGTCAGTAGAAATGGAGGGTCTTGCCTCGGAGCTAGCTTTGTGAAAGTCGTGACCGATGTCCTCAGCGCCGGAGGCCCGTTCAAGCCGGACAGAGCGGCATGTTTTCCCCCGCTACCTACCTAGCCGCCGGCGAACGTAAAAAAAAAAAAAAAAAAAAACATGTGCCTCAGAGCTTTCTAACATTTTAGCCAGTGTCCGCAGCCCGAAAGGGCGCCCAAGCCGGACAGTTCAGCATGTGTCGCAATGCTCATCACCGGCGCAAGATGATGTTACGACTTTTACATAGTGGTGACTTTCACCTACAGTCCCCCTTTAGATCCCACATCCACCCAGAGAAATAATGTCGTGCCTCAGAGATTTTCCACGATTTTGAGCCTTGTCCCCAGCGCTCCGACAGAGAGCTCGGGCTGTGGACGGGAAAGCATCGCCGCTATACTCATCATGGGCGCAAGAGGTGCATTGTTACGACTTTACCGGATGGTAGCTTGGATTGTCGGAGCTGGGGGGCTGTACCTCCTACCCATGCGCGCTTTTCATCGTTTAGAGCGGTCCAATCTGTTAGAATTGGTGGCCTGGTTTGCCAAAGCTGGGCGGGGACCGTACCTGGATAAGGGTGGAACTGTCAACCCGTAACCACTTCCATGGTTTAGAGGGGACTAGTTTGTTGGAGCTGGAGGGTTGGTTGAAGGGAGCGGGCTGGGCCCGCGAGTATTTATCTCCCAGTGACCCCCGAATCCTGCAACTCTCTGCCGTATCTAGTTTTAATGGGCGCAGTCGCATCAAAGTTATTCTTCCTTCTGTCTACCATATGCAGCGCTCATAGTTGCACCCATGACGTGGTGGAGCGAGCGAGCGGGGATTTGGGTTAGATGACAGGCACGCAAGACAGAGGATGCAAGCCATTGTCTGCTGGACACAGAAACTGTCGCGGCTGAAAGTTCGAGCACTGGTGCACCGTGGCAATATCTTTCCATGTCGTGGATTCTAGCTCGCACCGGCTTCCATTGCATGTAACCTTCTGCCCCTGAAAAGCCATCGACCAAAAGTATTTCTCGCTACCAGTCGCCCCACATGTTACGTCAGTGGGGTGACCCAGCACCCCGCATTTATCTTTAAATGCGCTTACACAAAAGTCCACTTCCGATCTTGACCATCCGACACACACGCAATTGAAATACAGAACCCATGCTATTGTACTATCCTGTCCTGCTCGCAGCAACGCTTGGAAAGTATCTGTGAACTCCACGTTCTGGTCATGCAGCCTACCCCTACACAGTCGGGCTGGCGAGGTGTATGATGGCGGCGGCGCCAGTCCCGAATATGGCCGTCCACACCGACGCAAATAGGAGTCCAAGACCGAGACTAAGGGGGCCCAAGATCTTGAGGCCGTCGATCCCGGATAGCCCGCCGTAGGAGCCCATCGCCTTTAGGGCTACGAAGCTCGCGACAATGGTGACGAGGGCGAAGAAGCGTCGGGCGTGCGCATCCGCCCTCTCCCTGAGCGCCAGGAAGAGGAGGATGGAGTAGCCCAGCCCGCAAATGGCATAGGCTCCGATGAGGAAGCTCCCAGCCACGCTTTCGTCTGGGTTGGTAGTCCCGATGGACAAAATAGGAACGGCAAGACTTCCGGCCGCTGCGAGCAGCCCAGAACAGTTGGGAAGAACACTCATGGCCGTGAAGCGCGTGGAGATGGCGGCCACTGGTGTTAAGATGCCGGCGACGAAGACAAGCAGCCCCGCCAGGACCAGGAGTGGAGGAAGGCGGCAGCGGGCCGGCCCGCAACGCCGTGGCGATGTATCATGAAGCTCCGCCGATCTCGCTTTCGAGAAGGCGGCCTCGAGGGCTACCAGGACACAGCTTGCGGCAGAGTGGGAGGAAGGGAGGAGTGCGAGATGTTGGTTGTGGAACGCTACTTTGGCGTCGAGGTTTGCCCAAGGAGCGATCTGGAAGGACGTGGCTGTTAGGAGAACGTGAAAGTTTAAGGTTAAACTGCTCAGTTATGAATAGGGTGGCTAACAGGATCGGAGGCGTCAATAACGACAGGCATTGGCTTTGTGCTTGGTGTAAATGCTGTCCAGACTTATTCGGAGACGGATGTCGTGGGAATCAGGACTTTGACTAAGATGCGCTTGGGTGATAAATCCTGGATGCGTGCCTGGCAAATTGTGTTTAGCAGGCGAATAATTTGCTTCTCAGAAATACATCCGAGCCCGAGGAATGTTAATTACAAAATGGGCATTGAAGGGAATGTGAGAGCTACACGGAGTAAAGGATGGAAACTTATATCCCGGGGTGCGCGAACAAGTGTAAGGGGTGCACAAACAATAGGGTGACCCACAGGTGAAAGAGTGGCGGTTGCACTGCCCCCCCCCACCCCCCTCAATCAATCGTCACGCAAAACAGGCCGAAATGGGACATGGCGCCAGCAGGGTTAGGGTCTCGCCCACCCCCCAAGCCGCATCGTTACATAAGCTTCCCCACCAATCACAAGCACGCTTTTTGTCAAAGCAATTCCAAGCTTGGGGAACTTTGGGAGCCAGCCATACCCGCAGAACCCGCCCGAGGCCGACGAAGACGACGATCGATCGACCGACGGTCAATTGGAACTGAGCCGAAGCGCCCGCCAACCCTCCGGAATCGCCAACCCCGACGAAAAATGGCGAGCAAGCTGTCCCCCCTCTTCCGGACCGCCGTGCGGTCGGCGTGCCGGCGCGCATCACAGCCCCAGATCCGGGCCATATCGACGACGGCGGCAAGGCGAAGCGACACCCTTATGGTGGTACGTGCCCCCTCCTCCCGCGACACCCCGAATCTGGGCCCGTCTTTCGCCGCCAGTGCCCGATTGGCCGGGAGCAAGAGGGAGAGACGGACGACAAGCCCAACCGAACCCCTCACAAAAAGCCCACAGACAAGGACTAACCCCCTTCCGACTGCGCAGCACCGCGACACGGCAGACAACAACCCCGACATACCCTTCAAGTTCAGCGCGCAGAACGAAAAGGTCATCGCGCAGGTGCTCAAGCGCTACCCGCCGCAGTACAAGAAGGCGGCCGTGATGCCGCTGCTCGACATCGGGCAGCGCCAGCACGGCTTCACGAGCATCAGCGTCATGAACGAGGTGGCGCGCCTGCTCGAGATGCCGCCCATGCGCGTCTACGAGGTGGCGTCCTTTTACACCATGTACAACCGCACCCCGGTCGGCAAGTTTTTTGTGCAGGCCTGCACCACGGTATGTTTTTTTGTTTTTTTTTTGTTCTTGTCGTCGTCCTCGAAAACCCAAGCCCACAGACACACACCTCTAATGCACGTAACAAAAAAAAGACACCATGCCAACTCGGCGGCTGCGGCTCCGACGTCATCGTCAAGGCCATCCGCGAGCACCTCGGAATCGAGCAGGGCCAGACGACAAAGGACGGGCTCTTCACCTTCATCGAGGTCGAGTGCCTCGGCGCCTGCGTCAACGCGCCCATGATCCAGATCAACGACGACTACTACGAGGACCTGACCCCGGAGTCGGTCAAGTCGCTCCTCACGGCCCTCAAGGAGTCGGCCGCCCCAGGCGCCGGCAAGAAGGCCAGTGTGCCCAAGCCCGGCCCCCTGTCGGGCCGCGACACGTGCGAGAACAGCGCCGGCCTCACCAACCTGACGAGCCAGCCGTGGGGCATCGAGACGACGAGGAAAGACCTGTAGAGGAGGGTTTTGTTTTGGGGTGGGGTTTGAGGTGGTTTGGAGGGACGTCAAAAGGTCATGGCTGGGTGGCAGGCGCTAAAGCCGTGCCCGTAACATGCCTCAGAGGGGTTCTGATAGCCCGTCAGGGAAAAGAGATCGTTATTCTCTGTACATACATGTCGTATTGTGGAAAGCAATGCATGAGGGTGGATAAACACAGGCCTGCCAGTCCAGCTGGTGACTATATGGCGGTTCTGATGTCATACAAATGGGCTTTGGTACCCAGACGTGGGAAGAACATGTCATCCTCAAAGAAAAAAAACGTGACAACCCCTGAAAACCTATGTAAGCCATAGCGAGTCATGGTCCTGATTCTTCAACGATCTCGGCTGTAAGCTCTTCCTTTCAGATCTTGGGTGCAAGCGCAGATCTACCCCTACTGAACAAAAAACCCCCCTCATCAGCCCCTAGGCCGGTCGCCGAGCCTCAGGATCCAGCCGTCGCCCTGCCTTTTGGCCCCGGGGGCCATGCCGCCCCATACCACGACGGCGTTCTCGTCGTGGTCGTACGAGGTGGCGATGCAGCCGCGGGGGCCGGGCCCCTCGGCGGCGCTCGGGTCGTCCTCGTCGTAGGCGCCCGTCTCGACGCGATACCAGCGGCCCTCGCCCGTCTTGCGCCTGAAGACGGTGAGGACCGCGTCCGTGACGCTGGCCATGCTCATGCCGAGCGACGGGACCTGGAAGGCCCAGACGTCGTCCCAGCACTGCCCCTCGCCGCCCTCACCCAGGACCAGGAGTAGGTACTCGCGGCCGCCGCCCGTCGTGACGGCGCAGAGGCTGTGGGTGGTGCGCGCGCCGGGCCAGGGGTGCTGGTCAACGAGCGACTTGGCCGCGCCGTCGTTCTCGTCCGCCACCGACACGCCCGGCGCCTCCTCGGCGAGCGTCTTCCAGGCCCCGGCGCGGGCCGTGACGTTGACCTCGTCACCCACGGCGCTGACGTCGTCAAAGGTGTCGAGGCCCAGCTCCAAAAAGTCGATGCGGCCGCCCTGGGGCTGGCCCGCGGCGTCTGCGCCGCCGAAGCGGTAGAGGCGCGACTTGCTGATGCACACGGCGGACCCCTGCCTGCCGGGCCCGGGGGCGTCGGGGAGCTGCTGCCAGACGCGGGTGTGGACGTCAAAGGCCCACGCCTCTGTGCTCAGCGAACCGTCGGCCAGGCGGCCACCGTGCACAAATAAGGTGCCGTAACCGTCCGACTCCTCGTCAGTCGCGTGCGCGGCGATGTTGCCGACGACGGGGGCCTGGGGGATGCCGACCTCTGAGCGGTCACCCTCGGCCCACTCGCGCCAGCCGGCCGCCTTGTTGGGCCCGCGCATCTTCTTGCGGTTCGTCCCGTTCCCAGGCTGGCCCGGCCGGTCGGTGGCGGCGCAGCAGTGGCCGCTCCGGGCAACGGGGAAGGGCTGGGGGGAGGCGGCGGGTGCGAGGGTCAGGGGGGCCGGCAGGGTCGCGGGCCTGGGGTCGAGGGAGGCCCAGGTGTGCGTGCGGGCGTCAAAGGCCCAGACCCGGCCGTGCTCCTCGAGGGGCGGGGACGTCTCAGGGTCCGACCCGGGCTGGCGGCCGCCAAAGATGAGCACGCGGCTGCCGATGACGGCCGAGGCGTGGCCCACGCGCGGAGGCGGAACTTTGTCCGAGGCCACCGCAGGCGACGCTGGGCCCTTACCCTTATCTTTCCGGGCGGCAGCCGGGGCGTTGCCCTCCTCATCGCTATCTGACTCTTCTTCCTCACTGCTCGTCTCCTCTTCCTCGCTAGACTCCTCCTCCTGTTTGGGCGGGGCTGGCGCGCCCCCCGCAGGGCTTGGCTCCCTGATGACGGGAACGCTGGGAGCGTCACCCAGTGGTATTTCGGTCAGACCCTTGTCTTTGCCGGAGCTGGAGGATGCCGCGACACCCTCCTCTTGGGGCGCGTGGTCGACGGACTGAGGTGCGGGCTTCGGCTTGATGGCATAGCAATCCGCACCGGCAAAGCCCTGGGGCAAGGCGACGGCGTAGACGTCGTTGTCGACAGGCTGACGGACGCGGCCATCGCCACCAAAGATGTAGGCGGTTCCGGCGACGACGTCGACGGTGTGGGACGAGCGGGGGAGGGGCGGAAGTGAGATGCGCTCCCAGGAGCCCTTGAGAGCGTCGCTCGAGGGGCTACCCTTGCCCCTCCCGATCGAAGGCATGGCGGGCATGGCGGGCATCGAAGGCATCGAAGGCATTGACGGCATGTTTACCGAGGGCATGCTGACGCTTGGCATTTTTTGTAAAGACTGAGGGAGGGACTGCAGCCGCTCCGTGGTGCGGCGCTTGAGGGTGGTGAAGGTCTCCATGGCTGCCGTGTTTCTGCTGCGAATCGACGGATGTTAGGGAGAGTGCAAGGTCGAGGCTGATGGAAGCCTGATGGTGATGGAAAAGGCTGGCACGAGCTGTGCCCGACGAGGATGTGGTGACGTACGTCTTCAACGGCGGGACCTGAAAATCAACAGAGCTCGTGCGCTCTTTTGCAGGGTCGCAATGGGTTGGCAGCAGGTGGGGGGGACCAGACGAGCCGCAATTGAGTAGGAGTGGCAATTGAATGGATGGTAGGAAAGACACTCGATGATAGGGACTTTTGAACAAGTTGGTAGGGAAAAAGAGATGGACGAAAAGACAAGACTAAATCATCCGACTGTGCCGGGAAATGCGGTGCTCCCATCAGCACCAGCGTCGGCACCCGACAGGCGGGATCCAATCAAGGCCCTTAAGGCCCTCAAGGCCCATCCCTCGACAGCTGAAGTCGTGGGCTGGAGCGTCGAAGCTCCAGCTTCTTCCCCGCACTAAACCCTCCGCGATTGGTGGGTGGGATAGTGGGATGCATCAATGTGCGAACCGCTGTCGAGGCACGGACTGCCGCCAGATCAAGGCTTGAACTGGGCTGATTCGTGACAAAGTCCTGACAGCGGGAAACTGACGGCTTGCTGCAAACCGTCGGTATGATTTGCATCAAATGCACGCACAAATGCACGCACTTGGGGCACGGCTAAACAAGTCGATTGACTGTGCTTTCTGGCCGACTGGAGACTGATTGTTTTTACGGAATCCCACAAGCACTCAAGCTCAGCACCGCCTCGTCCAGCTTCCTTGCTGTGCCACCCCTAAGCTACGTAATCAGACCGGGGTCCGGCTTGTTCGAGCAGATTGGGATGGAGCCGAGAGAACGGCCAACGACACAGACCCCGACGAGGAGCCGGCAATGTCAGGCACATGATATTTACCAGGCACATGAATGGAAAAGGTCACGTCTGGTTGGCCTACCGAGCCTAGCCATAAAGGACTGTCTTTACCAGCCGGAAGAACTTTCGTAATGCAATTAGTGTATTTGTCGTCAGAAGGGACAAAACGGCTGCTAGGGTGCTAACCCAAACCTGGGGTGTTATCTATCTTTGTAGCAGCATGAAGGAATGCTCATGTGCTTGCGCCAAAGCACAGAAGGGGAGCGAGTTCAACCACAGGCCAGAGGGAACTTGCTGCCCACTGCTCGATACTCTAAATCTGAGGACTATGCTTGCTAATCCTCTCCGCGCGCTTGTTGACATCATTCTCCTTCTATATCCGCTGACATGGGCTGGTAATGGCAGCATCATCTCAGAAAGCAATGGAATGAACTGCTGTCCCACCGCCGGGCTCCGGCCATTACTACCCCGGCTAAGGCCAACCCGAACGACAGTGTGTTGACAAGCATGTCGTTCCAAACCCAAAGTTAGACTATTGGTGAAACATTCGGGTATGGCTATATTTTTGCATTTAGGTAGCCTCATGGGTATCGTGTCCAACACCGAACCAGACGCCAAATATGCCCAAACAGGGCTTTGCTATCAAGGATACAAAGCGTGTCCACTCTTTAAAAAGAAGGTCACACTCATATCAACGGTTTGTGCCTCTGTAATTCATCCTATCCGGCATCATGTGGCTTGCGGTGGATCAAATGCATCAAACTCGGAACAATCCCCGCATTATAAGTCAGCCAATGGACCAGAATTTCCATCGTTGGCCCTGTGGCCTAATGGTAAGGCGTTGCTTTCCGGTGGCAAAGATTTTGGGTTCGAGTCCCAACGGGGTCGATTGACACAACTTTTTGCTTGTTGGTGGTGGTGTTAAATGAAGGACGACGACGGCGTTTCTCTTTTTCTCAATTCACAAGACATTCTTCTTCCAACTCCAACTACCCTGCCACAACGCGATCCCGTCCTCATTCGCACAAGATCACAGTCTCGCCCCAGTCGGTCGGCGCCGCAGCCAGGATGGAGTCCTCGACGCAGTGTTCCGGCCGCTTGCAGAAGATGCCAAACGTGAAAGCCACGTGCAGCCCTGGCGCCGCATCCCCCCCTCCCGCGCGGCACTCCCAGTTGTTGACGTGCTTGCAGCACCGCGCCACCAGCTGCTCGCGCAGCCCGACGGCGCAGGCAGGGGCAGAAGTCCCGTTCTCGCTTGGCCCCCAGCTGGGTCGGATGGCTGTTAGTGCAATCCCTGTGATGGGAGGGGAGAGTGAGAGTGTGTGTGTGAAAGAAGAGTATGGGAGACGGCGCAGCGCAGGCTCACGAGTCGAGAAAGATGTAATGCGAATTGCGCCCGATCAGCTCGCAGCGACTGTTTCCACTGCCGACTTCTCCGGCGGACCTCCTCTCGTTCCGCCGATTCGGCGCCCTGCCGCTGCCGTCGACGGCAAGAGCTGCGGCGGTGGCCTCATTCGCGGCCAGGAGGGCGGCAAGGGCGTAAACGACGACGCCCAAGTGGCGCATATTGTCCCGCGAGTTGAAAAGATGGACCAAACAGTGAATCCTACTAGTGCTGCTTGTGTCGCCGAGCAATGTCTCTCGTCGACAAGATAATGCCCGGTCGTGAAGGAAGAGCATATATGCTGAACTATACGCAGGATTTCAGGCTACTGATTTGCACTCCAAGTTGCACAGGCCCGGAGACTAGGCCTGCGTGCACTGATGGCGGACCTCCCCTTCCATTGTCTTGACATGGCAGAAAAGGGGCTCGGCCTGGCGAAGACTGGCCTCGAACTGCCGCTAGCTTTATAAGCTTTTAGTAGGGTTTTGCAGCTCGGCCAGTGCATCACACTTGGTAGTCTCCATGCGTGATAGAGCCTGGCATGGGAAAGCCCGGCTAGGGACCTGAAAACTTTGACGGATGGCACTACAAACACAACAATTCACAACATCACTCCCTAGATGAATCACGTCACTGGAATAGATGGTACACAAGATATTTGATGTCTTGAAAGAATGTCTCTAGCGATATGTCAGCGGAAGATTTGGTCTTGGGTGTCCAATTCAGTGCAAGATACTTCCCCAGCGAACCAGCACTGGTGCCACACTGCCCAAAGCCGTGCTTCCAACCCTCCGCGTCCAAGGCGCGCTTAGGCATTCTCACGAGCTCCGTTGATGATCAAGAGCGTGTCATGGCCGACCCGCCGCGGAAGGCAGCAGGTAGCAGCCACCTCATGTCGGTAAGGTCAAACGACGGCATGGCGCGCCAGCCGCTGGTCCTGGCCACCTCGACCACGACGGCCGCGTTCAGGGCCGCGGCGGCCAGGACGTACTGCCACACCCCGAGCTTCAGGACGGACAAGGCCACGCCGACCGTCGTGCGCTGCTCGAAATTCCCGACCATCAGCTGCGCCGCGCCGTACAGGGCGAGCATGTCGTCCGCCATGGCGATCAGGGAATTTTCCACGCCCCGGAGCGTGTACTCGGCCTCGTCGGTGGAGTTGGTTGTGATAGAGCTTCCACGCCCGGGCGCTTGTGAGCAGGGCGCCCGCCACTACCGATTCGTGCAGGTTCGTCATGTCGTTCGCGATCAGCTCGAACTGGCGAATGAGGATCTGGGTTACGAGCCCGGACGGATCCGTCTCGGCGACCTCGCCGCGGCCGCGGCCATCTCGGGCGGGGTTGGAAACTGAAATGGTGCGGTTCGTCAGGCCCACCGTCACGTTGAAGCGGGCTGGCCGGAATTCCATTTCGCACTGGATGGTGTTGAGCTGCTTGTAGAACTCTCCCGCCGCGATGCCCACGTAGCGCGGCCTCCGGATCCCGGCGGCCACGCCCATGGCGACGATGGCCTTTGGTGTCATCCCAAAGTAGGAGGAATACTTTTCGATCGTGCTGTTGGGGAGGCGGCCTCGGGCCGGATAGACCCAGGGGAACGCCGGACTCGCCTTTCCGATCCTGAAGTCGGCGCTAGCGTTGTAGCCGCAAGAGGCCGAGATGTTGTAGCTCGTTTCGAGGTACTGGTAGGACGTGGGCCGGCCTGCTGGAAAGTAAGCTTCCGAAATGTCCTTGTCCCGGATGCCCACCGCGGCTCCGGTTCCGTACGAACGGCCGACGTAAACAAACTGCGTGTTGTCTATCTTGGAGCTTCTGCGAACGGACCCCGTCAATTGTGGTGGCAGAGGCAGCCGGGGCGATCAGTGAGCCGATGTGGCCAACGCCTACCTTGTAGGTGAAAAAGCCGTATTCGGTAAAGCTTTCGGGGGCTCCCCGCTGGCCCTCGGGCAGCTTCGCCTCGGAGGGATACTCGCCCATCAGGCTGAGGCTGGCGAAGGACGGGATGGCAATGGTTCCGTTGGAGAAAGCCCTGCCTTCGACGGGCGTCATGACGCCGACCCAAAAGGCCGCCGAGACGATGCTGAGCGACGTGACGAGGCTGGCGAGGATGAAGTAGAGCATCGGGACGTTGAGCGCCATCTTGGGGGCGGCCATCTGGGCCCAGCCTTTCAGCTGGCCCATGGTAAAAGAGCCCCTGCTGGCGAGGCGCAGTCTCCCGCTATTCGCCACCAGGTTGCAGACGGCAACGCTGTGGATGAGGGCCAGCAGGGCCGACAGGACCTGTATAGCCAGCTGCACGGAGGCGCGGTTGGTCCGGATGAAGTCGGACGCGGGTTTCGAAAAGGTCCATTCCTGGATGGAAGCGACGAGGAGTGTGATGCTGAGAGCCGTCGGGATGAGGAGGCAGAGGAAGGGCCACCACTTGAACCACCACCGTTTCCAAGACCCATCGCTACTCGCCATGGGTATTGATTAAGGCGGCGATGACGGTTCCTTGCGGTTGCCCGGGGAGAGCACTCTGCTTCAGGACGCAACACGCAGGAGCAAAACGAGAAACACAAAGTACTTTGCCATGTCAGAGAGGGTTGGAAGGTCTTGGAAGAGGGGAAGAGGGCACCATGTCCCCCTCCCCAACCTTGGCGGCGCTTGCCGGAGGCCAACTCCTTCAGGGCCAAAACGCTGCGACGGCCGGGAGGAAAGACAACCCAAAATAAGCCAGGCGACTAACACCCACACACGAAACGTGGCGGAGCCCATAGAAAACCGCTGCACCCACACAGTGCCCCACCCAAACCAACATGAAATCAGTTGGACCCGGTTTGGCGGGAAAAAACGTTGGTGGGGAAAGGGTCGAGTTTATATGCAAAAGAAAGTAATTGTCACAGCATCGCCATTATAGCTAGCTACCTTGATTTGAAAGCCAGCGTCCTAATGCCACTGCTGGCGCCAAAAGCTATAAGCGGAAACCCCTGGTTTTTGCCAAACTAATAAGCTTATCGCTGGCCGGGCCCTTACCATGGTTATATAGTATATTCTTGTGCTAGAAAGGCGAGGGCCACGCACTTACGTACCTGGGCTTGGTCCTGGCTCACGATTGCAATCGTATCGAGACCTCGAGTCTTTTTGGGGGTGGTGATGGTGGTGGTGGTAGTGGTAGTGGCTCCTCTGCTTTGTAGACCCTTCAGCCACCCACCTGAGACCCAACAAGTCCCGGCCCCCATCCGGCTACACGACCCGGTGGGGGCGGGGATTGTGACAGAGAAGCAAGCAGGAGGTTCGTGCCTAGGTAGGTATCTTGGCTCACGGTATCTCGCACGTGTTGATCACGTCCCCTTGTTTGGACCTTACCATTTGTGGTAGCAAGAGTCGAGACCAAGAGATGGCGTGTGAAGCAAAAAAAAAGGGGTGGAGTTGCTGTATTGCCCTGCCACCTGCCACCTGCCACCTGCCATGGGTGCTCTATCTTTCATCTTCTTGCTCCTACCGAACTGCAAGTGGTCGGAGATCATCGCTTGCCTCCTGGCCAGTAAGGATGCTGTGGCTACATCCGAACTTGGTCCCTTTTCCCGGCCAGCCCCCTTGCCGCTGCCGCCGGCTTGACGCAACTGTACCCAGGACCCGGTCCAGGCGGCGCCTTTTTTTTTCGTCAACCGACCAGACCGCTGGGGAGGCGAGGGCGGGCTGTGGAGGATTTGGGGCGAGGTGGGTGGGTGGGTGGTGGTGTGTGGAAAGAAGACGCGCACAAGGAGAAAAAAAAAGAAAAGGACGACATGCATCTTGTACTGCATACAAACAAGAGACAAAACAGGGCAAGAAGTGCACAATTGCAACATCCGACCCACGGCCAGCCGCGGACCTTCGTCCGAAATGAGCAGTAAATACCAAGCCATGCAGGTGTGTGCGTGTGTGTGTGTATGTGTGTCAGAAACCGACCTTCCCTTGTCCTGCAGGAACGAAAGCCGTCTTGCCGCCAACCACAAGCGCGCATGGCCCCTCCCATGGTTACCCGCCCAGGACGTGTTCAGGCGCGCAAATGGCCGCCCCGGGAGATGATGGTGCGTGGAAGGGCGAGTACCACGTTACTTACCTGCACAGGTACCTTGCCGGCCTGCTGCCCCTGAGTGATGTGGCCAGGCCAGTGGAGGGGGCAAGCACAGAAAGCAGGACAAGAACATGGGCCCGGCCGTATGGCTGGCTACGTATGGTTAGCCTCCCACGGCAGCAGACCCCCATGCAACCTGTATGCAAGGTCCCCTCCATCCAACTTCCCCCTCCCCATCCAACCTCCCCCTCCCCGTCCACCCTGACTCGTGGTCTGGCGCGCCCCGAGCCAGCCGTCGCGCTTATCCTCCTCACCCGTTACCCGCTGCAACCAGAGGACACGGTGGTGGTGGTGGTGGTGCCGTCAGTGACGCTGGGGCCAGCCTGCTTCTAGCTACCCAGCCAGGGCGGGGCCCAACGGGCGCTGTTCCTCTCTCTTCCAGCCACTCCCCCCCTCCCTCTTCGGGAGAGCTTCCGCCTCCGAGTGGCCCCAGTAGCCGCGCGCGGGAAAGAAAAAAATAAAGGCCAAGGGGAGCAAAGAGGCCTCTTGGTGCGCCCCCTCTCCCATCCATCGCCCCGAACAGGGGCCATCCTTTTGCCTGCGGTCAGTGAGTCGCGGGCAGAGTGACTGGCTGGCCCCTCCTGGCCCGCCCATCGGGAATCATACACGTCGCGCCTTGCACACAGCTCGTAGCATCCAAACAGCGGGAGGGCAAAATGCAGGCGTCAGGCCGAAGCCTGCTCACTGTCACCGACAGCTCCATGCCCCGTCGGCTCACCGCCCCCATCCCAGACCCCTATGCATTCTCGGCGTTTTTGCGCGGTTCCCCTTGCCTCCGTGTTGAAGTGAGGACAGCACAGCAAAAGCAATAGGATCGAATGATACAGCGTTGAATGTAAATAGAAAGTTATCTTGACGATATTCATAACTCATAGTCTCCCGATTCCTCCTGGATGGTATAAATCTAAATCAAGCCACCAAATCGCTTTCGCCCAATCCATCCATCTGTGCCCAAAACAAGGAGATTAATACCCAGGTCCTCCGTTGACGTTACACTGCCTCTAAAAATGCCGATAGCCGGGCAAGGACAGGAGGAAGGGAAGATGCCTATATCGTAGGAAGAAATGTTTTCGCCTAGATAGCAAAAGAAAAAGAACGCAAACCCACTTGATGCCACTACATTTACCTAGCCATACAACCCAGACGTGCTGGTTTAGAAACTATGAAGGGGGTGTTTGTTTGTTTGTTTGTTGTTTGTTTTTTGTTAACGTAAGCAGAAGAAAAGTCCGTGTAGAAGGAATGTAGACTTTTGCTGTGATTGATAAGATGCATGAAAAAAAGTCGAGGACTAGTAGCCGTCGTCGTCCTCTCCCTCGGCGTCCTCGTCCGCCCGCTCGACAATAATCTCGTCAAGGACGGTCGGGTTGTCGAGGAAGCTCGCGGCAGCGGCGGTGGCGGCGGCGGCGGCGGCGGCGGTGATGGCCATGACGGCGGCCCCGGATGGCTTGAGCGGATTGTTGAGCACCCACTGCGTCGTCCCGGCGGCCCCCCTGCCGCCGCCGGCGCAGGGGACGATGATGGCGACGTTGGGCCTCGACGCCCACTCGATCAGCGACCGGTCGGGCTCGCCGCCGCCGCCCGCCAGGGGAACCGCCGGCTGGTCGCCGCGCGCCGCGGCCTCGAGGTGCTTGGCGAGGTGCTCCATGCGCTCGTCCCAGGCGTTGTCGCCCTCGAAGGCGGTGGCGCAGCCGGGCGCCGGGCACTGCATGCGCGTCGGCAGCCGGCACCGATCCCTTTCGGCGTCGCACTGCATCTGCCTGAGCACTTCCTCCCAGGCCAAGGCCTCGCCGTCGCCCCCCACGGCCGCAGCGACGGTGACGGTCGACGAGGAGGACGACCTCCTCCCGTGCGGGACGACAACGGGCGCGACGGCGATGGGCAGCGAGGAGGAGGACGGCCCGCCGGGCCTCTGCTGCTGTCTGTTCCTGTCCGGGGCGTGCATGCGGCGGACGTGCTGGGTGTACAGGTCCTTGCGGTTGAAGATGGCACCGTTTGGCAGGGGCGGGCCGAACTTGGGGTGGTGGCCGGCCACCCCTGAGCCCGCGGTGAGGGAGGAGGCCGGGGCGATTGCGCACGAGTTGCGGCCCCTGAGACTGCTGCTGGCGCGCACCGGAATGGTGGGCGAGGTGACCGTCATGGTCTGGCCGCCGCTACTGCTTGGGGCAGGGGCGAGCACCGGGGGCATGTTGACCGTCTTGGCGCAGTCGTCTTGGGTGCAGACCCAGAACTTGAGCAGGATGTGCTGCGACAAGACGTGGCGCTTCCACTCGTTCTTGCTCGCAAAGCCGGACTCGCAACCCGCAAACGCAAACACGCAGACGAAAGGCCGCTTGTGCTGCTTCTTGACGTGGGTCTCGAGCGCACCCTCAGTCTTAAAGGACTTGGCCTGCGGGCAGTCCCGGCAGGTGAGGTGTCCGGGGCCCGCCTGGGTGAGCATCACGCCAGACCCGCCTGGGGAGGAAGCCATGGAGGCCGAGGTAATGGAGGAGGAGGAGGAGGAGGAGGAGGAGGAGGAGGCGAGGTCCACCTCGGCCTTGCTAGACTTTCTTCTTTGCCTCTTGGGGGACGGTGGCGCCGCGTTGGACTGGCTCGCCGGCTTGGATGGCCGCCTGGGCGCGGGCTTCTTCTTGGGCGACGCTGCTGCTCTGCTCCGAGTTTTGACGGACTTGATAGGCTTGGCTGGCGCAAAGTTGCTGCTGTCGTCGCCGTCCTCGTCGTACTCGCCGTCGTCCTGGTCCGCGCTGCGGCTGCGCTTCAGACCTCTGGGGTGCTCCGTCTCGGAATCGACGCTCTCCTGACAAAAGGGGCTGGGCGGGTAGTAGGCGGCTGTGATTGTGTCCTCCTGCTTGATTGGAACCGAAAAGGTCTCTACCGTGGTCGAGGTGTTGTTGGCATCAAGCGATGGGAGTCCAATCGACGAGCTGCTCTGAAGAGTGAGGCTGCGTTGGGGCGTCCCAAAATCGTAGTCGATGGGGATGGGCGCGGCGTAGAAATCAAAGTCGGCCTGGGAGGCTGGGTTGATCTGTGAAGGGTCAACGTATCCGGCGGTCACGCACGGCGCAGCGATCTGGTCGTTGGCAATGAGAAGCCGTGGCGAGCCCCAGGTGGTCTGAGGGGGCGTGTGGCAGCCCGCAGGCTGGTACTTGAGATGGTGAGACGGCGCCACCGTGCAGTCGACGCCGGCAGGGGGCGTCGCCGGCCCAATCTCGTGGAAGACGTCGCTGTCACCAGCCGGGCTCAAGGCGCTGCTACAGGAAGAGCCGCGGTCGTACGACGAGACGGGAGAGCCCCATCTCGGTTGCTGGAAAGGGATTTGGAAAGTCGACGGCAGCACTGACTGGTGCTGCAAGTGCTGCTGGGCCTGTAGTTGAGGAGATTGGACAGGCTGGGTGTTGAAGAAGGCAGTCCCCTCTCGGTGCGGATGACCCAAGGCTCCGGTAGAAATTGCAGACGTGGCTGGTAAAGCATACCCGAGCGAAGGGTCAATGTTGCTGTCCAGACCGCTGGGATCTATAAGGGGCCCCCTAGACTGAGTGGTGGCGTATGAGTGGGCGAAGTACGGGTCATGGGGCCTGGACATGCCATAGAGGAGATGTGGGGAATCCATTCTGGCGGAAAGCAGGGCACACGGGGCGAAGGCAGCAGGTTTTTTTTTTTTTGTCCGGCGGCTGGGAGGGCCACCAGGCTGCAGCGGTAATGAGTGTTGACGATGTCGGACAGCTGGGCGGCCAGGGGGCCGGGCTGGCTGCCGATCGGTAACTGGTCCAGTTGTGTGCGGCGGGCAGCGGGTCCGATCCGGTACGAGTTAAAAGGGGAAGGGGAACCAGACAAGAGGCAGCCGGAAGGCGCGGTTATCAGCCTTGCCGGGTGCCTGCAAGGGAGACAAGTCGCAGTGTTTGAAAGTGCAAGATCGAGACGGCTAGGCCAAGCAGACAGGCAGCGTGCAGAACTCGGTCCGGGGTGGTGGCAGTGGTATGCAGTATGTGGTGTGGGAGAGGCTGTGCGAGAAGATGTGCACTTTGCATGTCTTGGTGGCACAGACAGCAAACAGCGTCCTGACGGCTGACTCGAGTTGATCAAGGAGGACCACAGAGTGTGGCTCTGCTTTTCTAGGGATACTCTTTCTCTTTTAACCTTTAAGCATGTATGGAGCACGGCGGTGCAGTGTCTCCTTTTAATAGAAGTGGGTGATAAGAGCAGAGGAGCAGGAGGTGGTGGAGGCGTCTGCACGACAGGTGCTAGTGGTGTTACCGAGCAGGCGGTGCCCACCACGATAGTCTCTGCGCACTAAACCGTAGAAGCAGGCGTCGAGGAGGGAGGGGGAGGAGCGTCCGGCTCTCACACAGAAGCGGACATGGGGTTGAGCAATGCAGTGCCCGGCAGAGAGAGAACGAGGGCGGGTGGCATCACCCTGGACTTAAGGTAGTCGGCCCCGACGAGCGCAACGCTTCCCGTGTCTTGCCCTCGCGCTCAGGGGGCTGGGATTGGGCCCCATGGTCAGCGGCCGAGGGTGTTCGATTCCCAGGGACTGGACCGGGTGTGTGGTCAGAGCAAGTATGGGGGAGGGTGGGCGGTCCCAGACTGGGGGGGCGAGGGGACAGGGAACAGCCAGCTTCCGGCCGGCTATCGAGACATAGGCGGTGCAGATTGTACGGCACCCAGCGCGGAGCAGAGCCGCAATACCTCGAGCTCGAAGTACCGGATACCCGCCAGGAGGCAGGCAGCCCCTGCTCGGAATCCGGTGAAGGTCGCCTAGTGGTCTTATTGGACGAGCAGGCGACGGCCTCTCAGGGGTTGTGGACGCCTGGGAGGTCTGGAGTGGATGCAGATGCAGATGCAGGGCCACGAGCTGACCTCCAGACGGGCGCCCAGCTGCGCTGCGCTGCCCACCTTACAATCGATGTGCTTTCCCCACCCATAACAGCACATAGCGCTCCTTTGAATGGGAGACAGGCACCCAAGTATCTCGATGCCTATCTCGAAGGAGCGGCGTCCATGGGCGGGCAGGGCTTGGCGGGGAGTGGTGTGGTAGAGGTGGATGTGATCAAATCTTGAGTGGGACGTGCAGGAGGAGGAAAAGAGATGTGCCCCGCGACCCCGGTCGTGCTTGCCCTGGGCCCGACAGGCCCCATGTTGCGTGCCGGTGACTGAGACTGAGAGATGAGGTCCGATAAAAGCAGGCAATAATATCGACGGAGATAAAATACAGGCAAGCACGAAAATGGAGACCCCAAATCTTGTAGGAATCGGCCGCCCAACGAATCAAGAACGCGGGTGGGCCGCGGGTGGGGTAATTACGCAAGTGCGACCCCAACCAATATCCATTTCCATTTGTGACAAGGGGCCAGGCAGGAGCTGGTCTGCCACTCCCCTCCTTTGCTGCCACCCATCGCCTCTTTGCTTTTTTTCCTGGGCAAATCTAACCCATCGCGGAGCACGCACACACACACACACGCACGCACACACGCACGCACGAGATGCGCCCTCGTCGCGGCTGCTCGTGTTTTTCCCATTGGCCAGCATCTTTCGAAAAGGACAGGAGTCGTCGACCCCAACCTAGGCCTGTCCGATGTCAACGACGTACATTCGACTACGGTCGACAAACTCCATCTTGGTTTACTCCGCAGGTAGGTAGCCACATGCTCTTCCAGCTGCACAGCCGCTCCCCCCACTGGCGACAAGCCCAGCGGAGCTGCTGTCCCCCATGATTTGACGCAGCCCCAATACACGGCCGCGGAGGCGTCTGTGGCGGCCATGGTCCGCAATCGCACCTAGATCGGGCGGATGTCACGCGGAGCCCGCAAACTCTAGCAGGCCCGCGCCGCCAAGCCCAGCGAGCGGGGGGGTCAGACGGAGGTGGCCGCCATGCTGTGGGTGCGGTGAGGCTTGCCCTTCCCAGCTGTTCTATCTTTGTCACAGCTGCTCGCAGGCGCGGATTCATGGCTTGCCTGGGCACACAATACGGGAGACTAGGCGGACTACGAGGCCGAACGACGTGGATACCTGCCTATATTAGCCACAGGCTGAGAAATGGTCTCAATATTAGCAAGCCACACGCTTTGAGCCCGGTGAGCAGGTCGAAACAATCCCAAGAGCTTTTGGGAGACGCAATCAGGGAATCGCAAACCAAGTTGCCAGGGAACATGTGCCCGACGATGATCTCCCGATCCGCCCCCCGACGGGCAAGCAGCAGGACCAGTCAAGGGGCCTCAGGGGTGACAGCGGAAGGCGGCTCTGTCCAGTGTCGCACCAGAAAACCTGGAGACCCATGATTGGAAATCCAGCAAAGGCGACCAAAAGGCGACCAGAGAAAGAAAAATATGCAGAGACAACCAAGCTTTGCGCATGGATGTGCCCAATCGAAATGGTATACGACACATTAGAGGCCACCCGACGAATCCAACACCAGCAGCATGCATCGACAACGACGCCTGAAGCGAGTTCGTCAATCATAGATGGCAGGGGCATGCATGGATTGCATGGATCGGGAAAATCGGGTTCCTCAATGTTCCCGCCTTTTCTTTTTTGTTTTTGCTTTGTTTTTCCCTACCCTGTCCGTTCGCTTTTCCGCGGGCGATGGGGCAATCACATCAGCCCAATCCTGGGGGAGATTTAGATCGCCGGTTCGGCAGCGAAATAAGAAACAAAAAAAAGAAAAAAAAAGGTCCCTGTCCACCGTGCCTTCCCTGCCGCCCCACAGCTCGTCCGCATCTGGGCTGGCCCGACGGCACGACCTGCTCGCCCGATCGGGGTGGTCCTCTAGGCACTTCAGTGTTGCAGAAAGCGATGCCCTTGGACTTGCAATTGCCGTTGGGACGATCGCTGCGGCCAGGCCACCGCTCGGCTACCATGCCTCGTCTTGGCAAAAGAATGGCGGCGTCCCCCTCTCGAAAGATTTTGTTTCCTCTTTGCTTTTTTATCTGGCAATGTAACCTCTGAAGGCAACCTCGCAACCAACGGCCGTATTGTGTTTTTAGAGGCATGTCGGTATGTCCGAGGGGGGTATAGTCTACCCAAACCCCAGCGTTATGACTATGACGGTACTTTCCGTTGCTGTCGCTGAAATCACCCTGGCGGTCCCATTCGTGATTGATCCCAGTACCCAGCTAGCGGCGGCACCAGAGGGGCCGCGGTCCCAGACCCGTCCTCGGCCCGGCTACTGTGTGGACCTTAAGGTCCGGTGTTGAAAGGGCCCTGTTGTGGTCTGTGTGTCTTTTTTTTTCTGCTTGCTGCGAGGCCCCATCTTTGGTCCTTTCCTTTTTCTCTTTTCCCCCCCCTTCCCTTGGTAGCGTCCAAACAGGCTGCATTTTGCTGTGGGTCTAGCCCGCGCGCGAGGACGATCGCTGGCCCTGCGAGGCAAGCGGGAAATGGCGACTAATGGGTGGTCATGGTGGGGCTGGGATGGAAAGCTGACGGGATCCACAGGCCAGCTCCTGCTTGGCTGAGTCCTCAGAGGACCAACAAACCGCAGAGCCGCAAGAATTCAGAGCAGCGGAGCTCCCACTCTCTCTTTTTTTCTGTTTCCCATGCCACCCACCGCCTCGACCCGCACCCAAGCTCCCCAAGCTCCCCAAGCTCCCCAAGCTCCCACCACCCGAGTCTGTGGAATCGCTGGCCGCCAAGTGCCCAGGCACCCCAGGCCCAGGCCCAGGCCCAAGACCCCAGCCGCCAGCGCAATCCTTCGGCCGCCATGCCATCTCTGTCCCTCTGTCCCTCTGGCGGCGGCTAAGTCGTCGGGTATGGGCCTTGTGTAACCAACAGCCTGGATCCGAATTTCTGGGCGCACATTATACACAGAGGAGGCTTGCACATCGTCAACCCATCATTTCATATTGTATGCACGTATTAGTACATGCGCTTGTTTGATCCTTCTGGCCCCCCCTAGCCGACCTACCGCGCCACGAAGATGGCAGGATGCATCGTCACCAAAATCCGTGTCCCTGGATTTGTGCACTCGACGCGGAAGGATGCGAGAGCGCTTTGCGGTTGACGCATGCAGTTCCCCCCCGCGTCTCGATGAGGCGGCTTCCCACAGAGCAGAGCAGGCAGTCGGTCGGTTGGTCGGTCCCTTCTCCCCCTTCGTCCTTTGGCTACCCGCGCGGGAGAGAGCCACGAGAGGGTCGCATCCTACGGTACCTCTCGCGCTCCCATGACGAACACGCCCGCCCGCCCGTCTTCCGACCACTCACCCTCCAGGCTTCCTTCCCCCTAGGAACACCAGACAAACCACAACCCCAGGCCCTCGGTCAGGGGAGGCGCTACTGCAAGCTACGGCACGCGCACGCGTCCCAATCCTGCAAATTGCACCTCCATGATGCTATACCTTCCGTACACGGTAAATCACCGAGCGGCTGCTTCTACCAATGCCAACTTTGCTTTTTTCTTTTTTTTTCTTTGAGAGTCTTAAGCAGATTCGGTCTGCCGGACTGGTGGCACCTGCCCTTTGGCCCCCC